TATTAGGTTTATAGTCTTCTTCCACTCTTCGACGATATGCGGTGCTGCATGGTAGTGTGGATAAAAGAGATTGATGGGTGAGTTGGAATAATACTATATATAACCAATATTGAGCACTATTGATGATAAATAACATTTGTCAGATAAGTTCAATTCCTTTTTGTGTGTGTTTAGAATATTCGTCTTCAGGTTTTCATTTTAATTATTTCAATATTTAATTCATAATGAGAATGCCATATTTTTTTAAAGAATTTTTAACTTGTAAAATGACTTCCATAATATAAGGATTCAAATTTACATAGTTAAATAGAATCAAATTCAAAGTTGAGAATCATATCCAAGATTTTAATTTTTTCTTCAAAGATGCAATCCCGTCCCTTTCACCTTGTCCAAGATGCCTCTCAATACCATGGTACCATGTGTATTATTTTTCCACCAAACTTTTGCATCAAATTCGAGAGGAATCAGAACTGGAGATACCTTTCTAATTTGCTAACCACGCCTTTTTGGGGCACCAAATGTGAAGCTGCCATCAGTGAAAATTTCGGAATAGGTCCACTGTACTATATCACTTATTTCATTTCATGTGAAAAAAAAAAGGGCTAATTCTATCTTTCTCCACAGTTGATAAAGTTTTGAGTAATTACGTCAAATGTCATCGAAATTATTTTGGCACGGTAACAATTACTGACATAAGCAATAAAATCCTAATGCCAAAATTTTTAAAATTCATGGTTTTCACAAGTAAATTTAATGGATCAGGAAGCATACATTGATCCATCGCAATAATTGGATGATTTAAATCCGCGAAAGAGAAATAAGTGAATAAATAAATTGTTCTTTCTTTTCTGTCGTTGAATGTTTTAATTTGATTGAGTTACATTCACGTTTATAAACCAAAAGAGGTAATTTTAATTAGCCATAGAAAAAATTACTCATTTTTCATCAAAGTTAACATTTATAAAACTGTCACTTCTCAATGAGCCAATAGGATTTTAGCAATAATAAATCACTTTACTTCATTTTCAAATAAAGATTAATAAGAGTCATGGTGGCTGTACATCATTTCAGCATAGTTCCTTCCATGTACTACAATATTTGTCTTCTCTTGACATGACACGTAATGAAAAGTTCAACGATTGTATTACAACAATGTCTTCGAAAAGACTATCCTTGTCAACATTCATATAATCGATTAATGTACTCAACATTCATATAATCCATTAATGTACATAACCAACTATTATGATAGGAATAATATTTTCATAAAAAACAATACATAAACGAGCTCAAAGTATCAATTACAAAAATTTCATAATGTCAATGATCATTTCCAATGATGTCCATTCTTTCGACGTGTTCATTAAATATTTTTGGTGGCAATCCTTAAGTAGAAAACATTAATCTTTAATGGGAAATAAAAAAAAATTCTCTAACATGGCACTAATACTACATGCAAGCAATTAAATCCTAATATCAAGATATTTAGAATTTATGATTTTCACAAATAATTTTAATGGATCAAAAAACACACCTTTATCCCTTGCAATAATTGGATGATTTAAATCTGTGAAAGAGAAATAAGTAAATAAATAATCTGTTCTCTCTGTTTACCTTTCTGTCATTTGTTTTAATTTGATTGGTTACATTCACGTTTATAGGCGGAGAGAGGCAATTTCATGGGCCATAAAAAAATTACTCTTTCCATCAAAGTGAACAGTTAAAAATATGTCACTTCTCAATGGACTAATAGAATTTTAGCAAATGAAATTTATGCAACAACAAGAGTTTAAAGATTATACTTTATAAGTTAGAGATAAAGTTTATCCGTTCAATTTGCAGGTATTTAATATATTAATTGAATATTAAATATTTTAATTAATTGACATGCTTATCCCGTGAATTAAGCATTTCAAATTTAGGATTATCTTCACTTCCTTATTTTTGAAACCTTTATTCTTCTCACGCATAACCTCCACATCCTCCAAGGCTCAATGATTCTTCTACATTCGGCATTCATAGATCTCCAACTTTCGATGATTTCAAAGGTGGTTCAATTAGTAGTGGGTGGTGTTTGTTGAAGATTTTGGTAGAAGTGATGGTGATTGTTGTAGATTTGAGTTGATGGTGATTGTTGTAGATTTGAGTTGAAGGTGACAATGGTGGTGCATTGGAGTTAGAGATGGCAATGCTCGGCTTGGCCCTTAAACCCACGAGCTCGGCTTAGCCCGTGAGCTCGAATTTTTTTTTTGAAAATTTTCAAAATTTCTCTCACATTTTTGACAAGCCCACGCTTGTGAACTTTTGGCTCGTGGGCATGCGCGCTAGCTCAATGAGCCGAGCCCTACTTGGCTCGTTGGATTTGAAGAGCCTGAGCGCCCACGAGTTGCTTGATCCATTTGACATTCCTAATTGGAGTGGTAGTGGATTGTGGTTTTGGTTTGTGTAGATTTGTTTGTGGTGGTGGTGGATTATGATGCAGGTTTTTTGTTTGCAGAATTTTTTGTGGTGAGCTTTTGTGATCGAATATGTATTTATTGTGATCAGGTGTGATCAATTCTATATTGTAATTGTCTGTGATCATATTAATAGTGCGTCACAAATTAGACTAATCTGGTCACAAACAGTTATATTGAATACAAATTTGATCACAGTTAATAACATATAACACATGTCAGTGACTTGGTCGCAATTAATAATGGATAAAATCACAAACAATAAATCTAGTACATTTAATACAATTAGTCATAAATCTTGTCAACTACAATGCAACAGCACCTTAAACATTGCTACCACTTCACCACCCCAACCACCATCAAATAGATCAATTCCAATGCACTTTCATCATCTGTAATGCACCGTCACCGCCACCACAAACTTATTTTCTAAACATAGTGCCACCCCACCCCACCCCACCACCACCACCAAAGAAATTTGAATTTCTGGAGATTTATGGATGGGGTTTGCAGGGGTGAGAATATAATATCAGTACATCAATGGATGTAGCTCTTCTTTGATTCCTATTATTAAACATATATTTTTCTCACTACTTTTTTTAATTACACATTCTTCAATAAAATAATATTATATACAAACTTAAAATTTTTTCTTTTTTTTCAACTACACATTTTCTATCAATCTATTATTTCAAAATGCATTATACACCAAAAAAAATAAAAAAAATAAGCCCATTGTATGTCATTTGATATAGAGAGAATTAATGTATATAATATTATAATTATAAATTTAATAATTTAATTTACTAACAAAGTTTGTAGGGATTAGAGAGCTTTTTAGTTGTGAATGTGGTATAGTGCTGTAGTTATTCATTGTTCCCAAAATAATATTCTACGGTTAGACTGTCGATTAAACAGTGACAGAATTACGTGAAACCCGGTCACTTTAGCTAAACCTTATCAAACGTTACGGTCTATAAATGAGTTAATTGTTTGAATACTCACTGAACTTTAAAGGGCGTCACATTTTACACACTGAACTTTACTTTGCACCCAATTACTCACTGAACTTTGGAGTTAATTGTTTGAATACTCACTGAACTTTAAAGGGCGTCACCTTTCACTCACTGAACTTTACTTTGCACCCAATTACTCACTGAACTTTGTAAACTTGCACTCCATCACTCATCGGGTTAAAGAGTTAATTATTTGAATACTTACCGAACTTTACAAGACGTCGCATTTCACCCACTCAACTTTACTTTGCACCCAATTACTCACTGAACTTTGTAAATTTGCACTTCATCACTCAGCAGGAACCGTTTGTTTTATTTGCCTATGTGGATGACGGCTTTAACACGTGACAATTAAATTAGATAAACATAACAATGAATTGTCAAATCATATATCCAAAAGGACCCAAACATGCCTCACCGTTTTCAACACATAAATCGCGATTGGAACCCTAATGTCTTAAAATAGGCCGCTTCGAAGGTGAATTTTAGTATATCACGATTGCTGTTTCTTCTTTTTCTCCTTTACTGGGCATGGCATTTTTGAGTGAAAACGGTGAGGCATGTTTGGGTCCTTTTGGATATATGATTTGGCAATTCATTGTTATGTTTGTCTAATTTAATTGCTACGTGTTAAAGCCGTCATCCACATAGGCAAACAGAACAAACGGTTCCTGGTGAGTGATGAAGTGCAAATTTACAAAGTTCAGTGAATAATTGGGTGCAAAGTAAAGTTGAGTGAATGAAATGTGACGTCTTGTAAAGTTCGATAAGTATTCAAACAATTAACTCTTTAACCCGATGAGTGATGGAGTGCAAGTTTACAAAATTCAGTGAGTAATTGGGTGCAAAGTAAAGTTCAGTGAGTGAAACGTGACGCCCTTTAAAGTTCAGTGAGTATTCAAATAATTAACTCCAAAATTCAATGAGTAATTGGGTGCAAAATAAAGTTCAGTTATTGAAACGTGACGCCCTCTAAAGTTCAATCAGTATTCAAACAATTAACTCGTCTATAAATGTAGTACATTTTTTCTAGATCATTCACGCTTCTTCCCTAATCACTGAGCACGGTCTCTCTCTCACTCTCTGGTACGCTTTCGCTCTGCTCCGTCCTTTCCTCGATTTCTCGGCGGTTTAATTTTATTTTTAATACTATTTGGGTCCCTAGTTTGTGGTTTCTGTTTTCTGATTTTTCTTATAATTATTTGTATGCTGGATTCTATAAATTAAATTAGTTTTTCTGTAAATGATTTTGATTGCAGCTATGAATTTCGATTTATAACCTAAAATTTTGTTTGAAGATAGGAATGGGTAATAGCTTAGTTGGTAGGCGGTTTTACGCTTTGGATTTCAGAGCTGGAGAATTCCTCTTTGAAACCATGTAATTTCTGTTGTCAGTAGAAGTTTTTCTTTTAGTTACGGAAAAAACTGAAAATTTCTGTTTATCACTTAGTATACAATGTAAACCTTTTTTTTTTTTGTTTTTTGTTTTTTGTTTTTTTTGTTTTTGTTTTTGTTTTTTTCCCCTTCTTTGTTGTATACTATTCTGGAAGCTCGGGATTCTCATGTGAATAAACAAGCCAAATAAAGAAAACCCAAAATAGTATCAACTTAACGGGAAAGAAATGGTAAATTGTCTATTATTTACTTTCTTGGTTTTATCCAAATTTTGGTATTCTAAACTTTTAATTTTAAGGCGGGAGAAGAAGTGAGATGAACAAGATTTGCTTTTGCATTTTTGTTAAAATAATCATGTATACCGTTTATTTTATTTTTCAAAACTATAATTAGTTAAGGTGGATTATTCAAGTTTTTATCTGGTTCATATGCTTTTTCCTTCCCACAATTAAAAAATAAAAAATAAAAAAATCTCTTCTATTCTTAAGATTTTTTATTCTTGTTGTTTCCAAGTTTCGAAGTGTTCTATTTTCACTACTGCAATTCTTACAGAAAAGAGGCTCAATATTAGAATGCAAGAATGGTTGATCTTAGTTGTTACTGATATCAATTTGTGTACATCTACCTCAAAAGTAACAAACAGAATTTATTTCAGCATACACAACAATGGCTGAGGCTGCACCACCAGTTGTCCCAAGTGTTGAGTTGCTGGAATGGCCAAAGAAGGATAAGCACCGATTCTTGCATGCTGTGTATCGAGTGGGCGACCTCGATCGCACCATCAAGTTTGAATCCTCCTTAAGAGAAATATTACTCATTTTGTTTGCGCTAAACGTGACATCCTTAAATTTCTTGAGTTCAAGTTACTTCTGCTTTTATGTTTTAGGTTTTACACTGAATGTTTTGGTATGAAGCTATTGAGGAAGAGGGACATTCCAGAAGAAAAATATTCAAATGCTTTTCTTGGGTTTGGTCCTGAAGACTCGCACTTTGTAGTGGAACTGACATACAGTATGTTGAGGCGTTTCAATATAGATTTTTACGTTATTAATTGCTATTTAACTTTCAAAGTTCTCAATTTCGCATGTTTGTATGATTCTGGGTTCATTATTTATCACCTCCATTGCGTGGTTCTGCGTTGGCACTTCATGGAGTGCTTGTGATATACTCCTCATCTCCCTTCCCTCCTCTAAAAAATGCACACACACAGCTGCACAAAACACTTATCCAATCATCAGAATTCGTATTTTCCCATCCAAATTAAGGAGGATATCCAATAAATGGAATTCATTATTTATATTCAAGAGGAATGGACAACGCTAGAAATGGCAAATGTATTGATTAAGAGCTTGTTTGGGAGGGATTTTTGCTAGTGAAAAATGGTATTTATAGAATATGTGGTTCAAAACTAAGGCAAAGTTATGGGTCCCATGGAATGTGTGGTTAAAATGATTTTCAAAAATTCTCTGCCAGACAAGTTCTCAACAAACTGGAAACAATCTAAAGAATTATTTCTCTAATATTGATACATCATAATTCTTGGTTGATTCTCTCTGATGCTATTCGCAGACTATGGAGTTGATAAATATGACATTGGAACTGGATTTGGACATTTCGCAATCGCAATTCAGGATGTAAGTGTTTATCTTGTTTGCTTTTTCTTTGGGCCGATGATCGAAGGGCTTATCTATAGGCCATATTATGGTGCCTTGCGTAATTTAGTTTGTCTGAAATTTTCTGTTTCCATCCGTTAGGTTTATAAACTGGTTGAAGACATAAAGGCCAAGGGTGGAACCGTCACTCGAGAGCCAGGTCCAGTTAAAGGTGGATCATCTGTGATTGCATTTGTTAAGGATCCTGATGGCTACCTTTTCGAACTAATTCAACGTGGTCCAACTCCTGAACCACTCTGTCAAGTGATGCTTCGTGTGGGTGACCTTGAGCGTTCTATCAAATTTTATGAAAAGGTGAACTATTCTTTGTTCTAAATTTGTGCAAGTTTGGTTTAGGTTTTGAAGCTACCTCTTCAATTGATCGATTTCTGGAGGTCTTATCTCTGCTTTTCCTGTGAGTCCATGTGTATAAGTAAATGAAACACCTGTTATGTGCGTCTCCAAGAATTAGTACGTCGATCAGTCATTGTGGATGTCATGATAAGACAAAAATTTTGAAGTTTGTGGAATATTAGTTTTTTGATTACCAGAAGAATGAATGTTATAAGAAAGTTCCATTTTAATCCTTCAAAAATAATGGTATCAACAGTCTCTCTTCTGTAGGCTGTAGCCTTTGACTTCCATATAGATACTGCAGTGTAATATTAATGTGCAGTCTGGAGCGATTGGTTCTCTGAAAATATGCTGATATTTATCACTCTTTATTCACACAGGCATTGGGGATGAAACTCTTGAAGAAAACTGACAGACCAGAACAAAAAGTATCACCAACGCAACCCACTTTTTCTTTGGACTTCAACCATTTATTTTCCTTAGGAATTTGCTAATGCAGTGACAACAAACGTTGTTGTACTGTGCAGTACACCATAGCAATGATGGGATATGATGATGAATATAAGACAACTGTCCTTGAGTTGACATACAATTATGGTGTGACAGAATATACCAAAGGAAATGCGTATGCACAGGTTTGTTGTATGCTTGTGAAAATTCTTCAGTTTGTTGTCATTCAACTCTGGCCTCATGGTGGATGTAATAATATTTCTAGGTTGCAATCAGTACTGAGGATGTATATAAAAGTGCCGAGGTTGTGAATCTTGTAACCCAAGAGCTTGGAGGAAAGATAACTCGGCAACCAGGACCACTTCCTGGACTGGACACTAAGATCACTTCTTTCCTAGATCCAGATGGTTGGAAAACAGTAAGTTCTCACTTCTCAGGGATCCATACTGTACCTTGGATTTTGATATTAATATTAATGTTACTATTGCATTCTCTCTTCAGAGTTTCGCTTTTCCACTGCAATTAGTAGTATTTGAGTACCTCTTCTCCACCCCCTCGTGTGCTCGCCCCCGTTTGCCCCCATTAATTTTTATTACATTTTCCTCTCACATGTTTTCAACCACACAATTTTACATAAAATAATATTACACGTAAGTAAAAAACTTTTCCTTTTTCAACCACTTATTTTTTTTAAAAAACACTATTCCACCCATTTCATTTCCAAATAAATGGGGGCCAAACAGAGGATATAAGATTATGTGCTTCATTTTTGGTAGGCTATATATGAAATTGACAAAATTGATCCTTACTGGTTGCACTGTGACTTGTTCTGAACATTGGTTAGCCCATAGTGATAGATTCGTCTTGATGTAAGCTCATTTCACCGTTTCTGTTTTATTTAGGTTCTGGTCGATCACGCAGATTTTCTGAAGGAATTGGAGATCAAAGAGTAATGAGCACGGTTGTGATGAAGGCACTGGATTTCAAATCTGGGGTTAATAGTTTAGCTATGGTAAATAAATAACCCCGGACGAGTAGTATTTGCCAGTATTGAGTTTTAATCCAAGTCGGAATGCAGTATTAACTATGTTTTGAGTACACAGCGAGCTTTTCTCTGATGTATTTTACTGCATTATCTTATAAGTACTTTTCAAACTTTTCTCTGAGATCTAATCCAGTCAGAATGAACTGTGTTTATGTTTATATTTCAAGATTTTTCATGGCAAACAATAACAGTAAAAAATTCCACAATACGTCGCATAAGCCTCCAAAAGGCGTTCTTGAGGAATTCATTACGCAAATTAAATCTTTTCACACGTTTAGAAAATGTATGGTAGATGAATAAACTTCTCATTGATACAAGTTTTTGGGAATATCGGTCTATGTTTGTATACAAGTTAATAAGGCCTCCTAAATGAAGATGCATGAAACAGAAGATAACACCCTGTTGTTGGAGAAAGATGTCCACTGTGCACTATTTCAACCAAATCCACAAAATTTCCTGAAGAACATTGTGTAAAGGTAGAAATCTGAATAATTTCTCTCTTGTTGATCGAGATTTGAATAAATACAGGATAAACAATTCCAGAGGCTATTAAACTGTAACGACAGGGTAGCAACCAAGAACTCGAAGAAACCTTGCAAATTCCTGTAGAATGAAGAGTTAAATGAATATAACCCCTGCGAGTTGTAACATGAATATAAATAAAATAGTTAACACGGGCCAATTTCTACACCTTGGGTGGGATTTACACAATTAAGCTACTTGTACAGAAATTGTTACACTTTTGTTGACAAATCCTCGATCATCATCATCTATCGACAAAGGTATAAAAAATAAAAAAAAGTGAACAAGTAGCAAAGTCCGGACTTATCGGTATACCAGCCTTAATACCATCTTGCTTAAGAGTAAAGAATATCAACGTGGGAGATTGCAAAGTCTGCATAAATTTCATCATGATTGTCTACTGGCATTACAATCATCCTAGAGTTGGATCTATGTTTTGTTTCTTTGGATCACATTGAAATTTAATTCACCAGCACACACGCACGCAAAAAAAAATAATAATAATAAAAAATGAGCTGACCTGAAGATGTCCCAGAGCATATTGGGAACGAGGCTCCGCCATAGATGCTTCAAAGTCAATGTAAAATAGATAATCAAAGTACCTGATATTGAGGTTTAATCAATTCTACAAATACATCAACATTTATGTTGACTTGGAACAAAAGTATATTGAGTGAACAATCAGGATCCAGACTTTTCATATTGAGGGGTCAAAAATTAAATTGCAATTTTTAATTTTATTATTATTATTATTTTTTTTTTAAACAATGTAATATTAATGAAAATAAGTCAATACACTACTATAATTGTAGTCTACCCATTTTCATACTTTGCGAGAAAGATGGAACTAAGGTTTTGCGGGAAATTTAAATTTAAATTTGTGGGCAATAATTCATTAATCTAAACATTCAATTTTTAACACTTGTCTCAATTATGCCTAAGAGGCCAAATTTCATTAAACTTCGAAATTGCTAAAATCTTGAACTCCAAAAAATCCTACATCTAAAATACTAATTTCAACGACACTTATTTCTCGAGAAGAGATGGAAAACATGATCAATATTATTTGATTGAATAGTTAATCCAGTCCCTTATTGTTTGAAGAAACCCTCAACTTCAATGGGTATTTTTTCACGAAAAGTAGACATGAGATAGAAATCTATTGTTTCACTAAGATTTTGAATAGCGATTCTGAATTTCAAGTTAAATTTATTTCACCTGTTCCGAGAGAAAGACGATCAATTAATTCCCAATTATGATCTTTGCGGATCAGATCATCCATATAGTACACAAAAAGAAACTCCAAATATTTGATATCTTTCTCTCTAAATAAGATCTTAATTTCAATGACAGTTTCATTAGATATTTTACAACTAGAATCCCTCTTACTTATTTTTTCGCCCTCCACCACCACGAACCCCAGTTAGATTCAGTAATGTTACACTTTTTAATTATTGAAAAAAACTAAGTACTCTTTTTCGAATTTAGAAAACAACTTTCAAAGATCCTTTTTCCTTTGGAAGATATAAGAGCGAAACAATCAACCTATTGACATTAGAATACCCAACGGATACTTCCAATGTATGCCCTCATCTTCCCAATCAATTCAACCCTCAAAATCATACAAAATCAAATACATAGTACAGAAAAAGAAAATAATCAACTTATTAATTTCAATCAAATATCATATACGATGGACAAAATTGATCATTAGACCTCCAAAGGCTGCAAGGATCCAGAATGTAAACTGTGACCTTAGACTTGAAAACTCCATCATTGCTCGCGATTTTTACTTCTTCAAATTGTCCAAAAAGAATTTAGAAACTGTAAAGATTCTTTGAAACCCTTTTCTCTCTATTTCTTCGCCATTAAATTCTTATTTGAAAAAATTCTAATGCCAAAGCTCTATAGTTCATTTCACTAACAAATGGATAATCAGATAAACTAGAAAGGGACACTCATTAAGCGTAAGCAAGAAACTTATTGAAATACTTCGTCTTCTCTTGGCTATGCACAAGTAAAACTATTAATGGCTAGTTAAGGCAAGGAGATCTTTCTCTGATTCTCTATCTGCTTCTGGCTCTGCTCAAATGTACTAATTTGTTATTCTTCCTGTCCAGAACTTACAAAAAAGGTAGATGGAAGAATGTTTTAACTATGTTCTTATCTCCTTTTGAATTTTGGAAGATGGAGCAGGTAATGGCATATTGAAGTTAATGAGTAGCAGTATCTCTAGCTATGCATGATAAAACAAAAGCATCCTTTTCCAATAACAAGATTTTGCCTGGCATACTCTTCAATGTATTTTCTAGGGAAGCATTTTCTTGAATAAAATACCTTGTGTAGGACCCTACTACCTTATAAGAATTGCAGGAAGGAAAAAGAACAAATTTAAATTACCTAAAACCTATAAAAGTCTGATAAACAAGTCGAAATAGTTAATCAAATCCCATAGCACTGGAAATACTAATAATAAAAAGACACTCACGTTGCTCTCCCCTTGTTAGAGTCGTCATAAGCAACCCTAATTGGGCGTCTTTTCTGCGGCCGACTCTCAACCTGGAGTTATGTTTTACAGCCAACAAACAAGCATGAAATCCATTGTAGGCAGTGAGAAATGGAACTGTTGTTAAAATCATTCTCATATTTACCTTTAATAAATTAATATCCCTCAGAGCAAACACTGCCAAGGCCTTGAAAAGAACTCCAGGCCCTTCTTCCAGAGTGAATACAATACTAGTCTGGAAAAGAAAACAAGAATTACTTCTATCTTCACACAAATGATCAAATGGGCCTGAATAAAGAACACTACCTTGAAAGGTCTATCTGTTCCAGGGATAATAGGTTCCCTTGCAAGTATCAGAAAACGGGTAATGTTTTCGGAGTCATCCTGTTTGGTGCATTGCAAAACTTAAAAAATTAAAGGATTTTAATATTATATCATCACCATGGCTACACAAGGAAAATAATAATATTCCCATAAAAACAAATATTATTAGAAGCCTTTTCACTATCCAAAGTGGAATCGACATGGAAATCAGCAGGTGAAATTTCAGTATTATTCCAACCGAAACCTGTTAGCTAGGTGAAAGTGGAAGTGAAGTGTATTAGACATGTAAGGAGAAAGAGATGGGATCTGAAATCCTTCATTCTGTAAAGTCAAAAAGGCAAGAGGAGTATGGCTGGAAAGTAGAAATCATTTAAAATCCACCCAAACTAGGAATAATCAAAGGTGAATTAAGCAAGATTTCTTTCGCGTCTCCAAGATTCGAAAACATGACCTCTAAGAAAGACTTAAATTTGAATTCTGGCACCATTTGGATTTAACTCTCTTTTTGAAGGGAAACGGAAAGGTCACGGGTTTGATTCTTGGGGATGCGATGGAAATCTATCAAGGGTGAGGAATAAGATGGGTTTAGACTCTCCTATAACGAACAGTACATAAGTTAATAACTTGGACATAGAGGCCATGTCATTACAAAAAATGCACGTTTTCTGTAATGATCCAACCTCTATGCCCAAGCCGTTACCCCTCACGGATTTATATAGCATTCAAGTAATTGAACCCATGACATTTCTCGTAAGAGAGACTCAAGTTGAATATCGGTATCGATTGAACAACGGGTAAGATGAGCTTAGGCCCTTCCATAACTAATAGTAAATAAGTTAATGACTTGGGCATATAGGTCAGGTCGTTACACAACGCATGTAACCAACTTAACATTTCATTCTTACACACATGCGAGTGCAAAACCTATGTGCATTAGGCCTGTGATTGTTTGAAATATTAAACTGCATAATAATGGGCACCCTTTTCCGAATTTTTGAAACATAGAGAAAAGAATCCCCAGACGGTAAAATAAGTTAATGACTTGGATATAAAGGCAGGTCGTTACACAATACATGTAACCAACTTAACATTTCATTCTTATGCACGTGAGTGCAAAACCTATGCGCATTAGGCCTGTTATTTTTTGAAATATTAAACTGCCTAATAATGGGCATCCTTTTCCTAATTTTTGAAACATGGAGAGAAGATTCCCCATCTTTGCGACGAACCAACAGAGACCAGGAATGCCATCTTTTCTTTTACAGGAAGACTTCACATATGCCACAATCACCTCCCTCTTCCTTTTCCACTGCCACCTAAAATGAAGCGTTAGTGACAACATTGCTGCTGTTCCTCAGGTAGTAAATTACGGCTACACTTTATATTTCATAAGATGAGGAATCGCAATGTCCATGAATGAAATCAACCTACAACTATAGGAAGAGAATCGAAATCTCTCCCAAACATGCAGCAGAAACAAAAAACTCCCAAACAAGCAAGAAGCCAATTAACCGTGGTTTGGCAAATCTCCAAACGACCACAAGACAAGGAGAATAACTTCACTAATCAAAACATCAATTACAAAACTTTCATCAGAGTCTTAACTTCTCCGCACACAAAACTAGAATGTCTTCTCCCCACACAAGACTAGAACTCTTAAAGTATGCCGCACACCCATGTGTATCATTTTTTTTTATCTAGGTTCTCTCATCTCAATTTTTTCTCTACAGCCAAAAGTCTCTTTGTGCGATTCCTTTTCTCTGTCTCTCTCTCTCTCTCTCATCCGCGGCCAATTATTTTGCTCTCTGCCCATGAGAACTTATTGATGAACTAATGCCTTCGTCATTGTATATAGCCTAGTCCCTCAAGAAAAATTGTTAAGTCTTCACAAACACTAGATTTTGTTTCCTTGTTCATGCTTACCTTTTTCTTTCACTTTCTTTTCCAATCCTTCCACTGAGCAGATTTTCTTTCCTTTGGCCTTCACACTTCTATTCCCTTTTTGGTTCCAGTGGATCCATGTGACATTGGTCCATCAAATTACAATTCAAGAACCTAATCCTCATGGTAGCATTGTTTCTCGCACTTTTCTTTTATTTCATTAATTAGAGTCAAAATCTCAACAAAAGGCACTCCAAGAAAACAATAGGGAAGAAATGCTGGTAATCAAACCTGAAAACAAATATCCAACAAATTCATTATCTCATAATTCCTTTCCACTTTTAAAGAAAATGATGTACATCAGTGCAGGTACATGCTTGCATCAAATGGTGTGCGAACCGAATCCTATAAACTTAACACTTTTAATAACAGAGAGCATGTAGCTTAAAAATCGAGATACTAAAATCCTTAAGTAATTATCACACAAGTACAGCGGTAAGGCTAACACTTGAAAGCTGAACATATTGAACACAATAATGGATGAGCACAATAGGTACTAACAAATGTTTGGTATGCAGTAGTAGATAGTCATACTACCAGGAACAAGATTTTTGTTTCTTTTTTATCTTTAACATTGTCCAGTCACGTTTACTAGTCTACTACTGCATATCAAACATGTATTGAATGCAAAAGCAGCCTATTTCGCAGGAGACTGAGTCAAAACCTCACCCGAATTCTATAGTCAAGAATATCAAGCCCATAGATTTCTGCAGCTCGAGAACTTGCAACTGCTCCAGTGTCTCTCAACCCTTTGGAGGCTACAATCTATTCTAGTGTTAAAATGGATTACAAAAGTTGAAAAATTACAGATCTCAAAATATTACCAGAGCAGCACCAGCAGAATCATCGACACTGACTCTGGTAACACCCAACTTGTTTAAGGTGATCTCACATTGATCAAGCACCTGAAAACACCAAATTAATGAGCTTCTTATGTTCACGGACATCAGAAGTATGGAATGTCTAATCAAGCAAAAGAGAGAGAAAATGCTTGTTGCACGGTAAACAGGGCCACAGTCATTCCATTCAACTTAAGAAACTGTGTTTGGTGGGAAATTATAGATTCTGCTTTTTAATCTTGCTATGTTTAGATTTTAGCTTCCATGTAAATTTTACGTGCTAATATTCTTCTACCATGGACCTCAAATAATTACTACATTGCTAATATATACAATCCAATTTTCATTACCTGATCGCCAAATTTTGTCCAAATATTTTAATTTTCTTGTCATGGATAAAGCAGGTTATGTATCATTTGTAACTTTTCTCACGGAAACAATGTAGGGAAAACGAAGTGTTTCAATTTGCAGGTGTCGAAAGGGAGATGAAGGGAAAATGATCACCTGTGGATGGCTCAACACACACTTTAGCTCCTCCTTTCTAATGCCAGGCAGTGCTAGAAGGAAGTGATTCACTTTCAACCTAACTTCTCCTACTATGTGAAGCCTATGATGGAGCAGCAAGTCGTAGTTATGGTGGATGCTCCCACCAACAGAACTCTCAATGGGGAGTACTGCTTTGTCCATCAACCTCAATTCAACTGCCTGAGAAACGGGAATTAATATAATAGAGTTTCCAGAAGATTTAAGATGATTGAGAAAATTTCAACATACACTTTGACAAATAACTACACCTCCACCTTGAATGCAGCTTCAATCTCGTCACACGGAACAGTTTCACACTCTGGATAAGCTTTTACTGCAGCAGTCTCACTATAAGACCCCGGAACCCCCTAATGCGGGTAAACAAATTATTTCTAAGAAAATTGTTACTAAAAAAATCTAGGCATGTCGTTTTAGAATAATAAAAATATTATCTACCTGGTATGCAACCCGGATCATTGACCCTTCACTGAGAGAAGCCTTAAGATCGACTGCAGACAGGGGTTCTGCATTTGAAGCATATCAAGTCATAAAAAGTGCACATAGGCAAAGAAGTAAGATAGATTAGATCACTATCGTTAAGAAATCTGAGACTTTGGAAATTCTTACGGTGTCCCTGTCCGTGGACACAGTGTGTACGACTTTAATGGATGAGGGAAAGGTGGGGGAGTCATTGACTACTGATATAAAATTAGCTATAAAAAACTGGTCTCTACTTGGTGAAAGACAAGATCTTGTTTACATTTTAGAAAATTGACAAGTTTACACAGTCTAATTAATAATCAATTATATCACAAATGGATGTACATGAATTAAAACTAGAAGCAATGCTTAAGAAAAGCTTTTAATTTTGATGACCATCCTAGCCGGTCCATAAAATGATTATCAGTCACTTTCTATTTGTGTAGAAAGATTCCAACTAAGGAGAAACACCACGAATAGAAAAAGGCAATCATAAGCAACCAGAAATGTTCCTCAGAACCCTGCCATATACTGACAAATAAAGACCATCCAAACATAGAGATATCATTAAAGAAATGTCTAAATCATTAGATATATAATATAACTTATAAATGGAAAAAAAATTCCACTACACACACCTAAAAATGGTAACTTGAATTTAGCTAGACTCACTTGGAAGAGAGTTTAAATCCCTATGAAACCCCCTGCCCTCGGTGATCTGAGTGGCCTCTACAATTCCACCAGGGGCGGCAACTCCAGGTGTCAAAGGGATCTCATCTTCTACGGGTATGGTCGCCCTCGGAAAGAACACACTTAGACACTCCCAGTTTCTCCGAATCCTCAAATTTAAGAAAGCAGGACTCCCTCCTTTTGTACACACAAAATCTGAAAAGCCCAATTCAGAAAATAGGAAGTTTTTTCTGTCATTGTTGCTATAAACCCAGATAGGCGCAACCTTCAAAACCATGTCTTCCTATGCCAACCCGACGTGAAGTGTAGTTGTAGTTCTCACACAAACATAGGGTCACGAGAAAGAATGTGCCTGTGTCTGCCAGAGAGGGAGAGCAAGGCAGCTAATTGTTTAGAAAATTTCTTCTGATTTTTTTTTTTTTTTTAAAGATAAATTTTAATTTACAGCGCGAGATAAACTCAGAATGGAGTTTTTGAAACGTAAGCGCCACGGTTTTCCACGACCGTTCAACAGCATTGTAGGAGGACTATAGAAAAATGTTGATGAGCAGGAGGGAAGGAAGGAGAGGTAGGTGAGCAGACTATTGCTTACACGTTTTCACCTCTTTGTGTGTGCGCGCGCGCGGGGGATCGGCGGAAGAGTTTTCAAGCGGCGGAGGGAATGGCAATGCGACAGAGATGAAGCCAAAATTTATGTAAGCACAGACCCTGGCCATTTATTACTCTTCAGGTGCATGACAACAAAATCAAATTGTACTCTTTGTTTCTTGTTATTTACTTTTTAATGCACAAACGAGATTATCTTTTTATTTGTTTTATTTTTAAAGTAAGTTTTATTAATATATCTTTTAATACAAAAATCATATTTATTTATCTTCTTTTCAAAGTTTAGAATCCAATTCGACTAGCGGGCTTATATGATCGTTCTTATTCAAATTACGTCGTTGTATGTCTACTTTAGATACTTATGATCGTTATAATTAAAATTACTCGTTTGGCCCACATACTGTGTTTTCAATACTGAGAAAATGACATGTTATTCATGACTAAGGACGGAGCTAGCATTCAGCGAGCTATGGTGACCATCCACGTTGGCTTCATCGGAATTTTTTTCCATAAATTGGGCGACCGCTCGTTGGCATGCATGAATCCATTCTAATTTACTCGAATTCTTGGATCCATCATTGTAATCATGATAATTGGGGAGCTGCTAACTTATTGGATGACCTACCCCCACCCAATGAGACGAGGCCATCTCCGGACTTGAGATCAACCCAATGAAGTCTTGAAGAGGCCTCACCTCATTGAGTGATGATGGGCCATCCGATGAGATGGTAGCTTTCTATTCAGAGGGTCGCACCGTCCTCCAATGATATGGGGACTCCTCGTTCGACAATCATACCACATAGAAAGGAACGACTATCCTACCAAAATTTTTCTTGTCAAGAAAAAGTCCTTGTCAACTTTTACAGGTTTTAGGCCATCTATGTCATCGTCAATGAGAAGAGACGATGCAAGTATTGTAGCCTCAAATTATTTACAGAAAATTATAGAAATCTGCAAAATTATGACAATCTGGGCCAATTTAATTACTAAACAATGAAAACTGGATTAATTGAATGAGAACAGAAATAAATAAATAAGAATTTGTTGAATAGGACAGCCAAGTTAGGAATAAAAAATAGTACATTTTTTTGCTGAAACTAAATTTCAATTCAAATGCAGTTGATCCGACCACAACCATATTAATTACAAATCTTGGCACTTCGGAGCATACTATACCAAAAGTCTTTCATATATGAAATCAGACAAACTAATTCATGTTATATAACAACCATATAATAAGATCACAAGAAAGTATGAACGAAAATATCAACAACCTCCTACATTAAAGAGAATTGATTTCGATGAGTGCAAAACAACATTGTATGGATTGATTGATTGAGAAACTCATCGATTTTGTAAATAATTTTGAGTTTTGTAATTAAAAATTCAATGATCTCGAAGAACAGTAATCTATAATTCTGTATGTTCGTTTGTGTTATAATCAGATTGAATAACTCGTTTGACGTAATAGACTTTGCTATCATATGAAGACATAAATATCTAACTTAAAAGGTCAACTCTGTTAAAAATAGTAGCTTAAACATTGATTAGTACTTCGATATTTAGTCGACTCGAGATTTATCGTTTAACATATACAATAAACAGATAAGGTTTGGGTAGAAGACAAACCTATCGAGTCTCTAGGGATTAATTTATTGCACAAAAATCTACTTCTGTATTTAATTTCAGATTTTGCACGAATTACATGATGTAATTTATTGGATTTTAATGATGTTATAATCGTCTTAATGACAAATATTTTAGTCAATGGACTGTTAGTGTGTTTTAATTAAGGACAATTTCATTTGTATTGAATGGAATAAACCGAAAATTGCCCTCCTCTCACAATGCATGCGGGGCCACGTGAATATAAAAATTCTCAAATGTGATCCACACTCCCTATTGTGAGGAGTAGATAAAAGATTAGGTAAAAAATTATGTACATGTAACATTATTCTTTAATTAATAATGTTAATTAGATAATAATTAGTCTTTACCACGAGAGATTACAATAGCCATTGTTTGAACTACATTATTGGAATGAAAATACATTTTTGAATAGTATATTAATGGAAAATGTGATTAAAAAATAAATAATTATTTTGGATTTGTGTCTAATATTATTTTATTAAAAAATGTGTGGTTGAAATGATGTCAAATCATTAATAAAAAATGTATTTTTTTTCAAATAGTGTGGTCAAACAAGGTATACACATATCAAGTTTAAACAAAGATTTATTTGAATTTTAATGAGCATACCTATCTTAAAGCTTATAAAGGGAAATTTGCAGTAGAGAATGTATTGTTGGTCCCATAACTTCAAATCTTAACATATACAATCCAAATATTTTAAAAAATGTGCGTCCAAAGGACCTTTAAACAGTTTATGTCCAAGTGATAGTTAATTGATCAAAAGTTAAGCGTTTGCCCATTTTTAGAAAGAACAATATGGTAACTATCTTCTTTTTCCTCATTCACCCTAAACCGCACCCCCACCAATCATGATTCAAGATTTGCCATTTTCCTCCCTCACAAATCTCTAGGGACGGGGGGGGGTGGGTGGGGCAGGGCGAGGGGCACTCAAGGTTGGGATTCAACCTTTATGATTTAAGATTTGCCGAACGAATACTAATTTTTTTTTTCATTTAATTGGGCTTTTTCATATTAGTTTGATAGTAGATGGTGATGTAACCCATTAACAGCCCATGTTGATAATTACGTATGTGACCTTGTAAGGTCCTTGATCAACATTTGTTAAGTTCTTGTTTGAGTCTCATTCTTCTGAAAATTTATTTTTTTTAAATTCATTTTCAATTACACATCTTTCAATAAAATAATATTATATGCAAATTCAAAATTTTTTTTCAACTTTTAATCACACATTTTTCATCAATTTACTATTCAAAATGTCAGGCTCATCAAGTTCTCAAATAAGGGCTAAAAGTGGAAAAAGGCCAGGCTCATCAAGTTCTCAATCCGTTTCAATTTATTATTTAGTCATAAATGTAGAAACGTCTTCATTAATATGTTACTGGTAATAAAATTAGACGTCGAAGTTGAAAAATCTCATTTTTAAAATTTCGTTGAAAAATATGTTGTATTTACTGAGAGTTCGTATAATTTTTTTCAGTATGTTTTAAGTCTTGAGAAGTTACAATTCCATTGAAAAATACGTATTTTCTGAACTATTTTTTCAATAAAATGTAAAATAAATAAAGGGCCACAAACAGCAAAAACTAAAATTCACAATCCAAAAATAAAATTGAAAAAGATGTCAAAAGACGATTTTACCCCTATTCTTTCTCCTAGAAGAATATAACATTCCAATCCAAATTCTCACTCCAGACACTTTTTAACCCTTGAATTCAGGCAAGACAAGGAGGAGACCCGGAACCCTGGGAGAGGAAAAGGGTCAGAAAAAGTATAGAAAATGTCCAAGACGACATCGTCGTCGGTGGTGGTGCGGCCCGAAGATTATGGCCACAGTCCGGTCCACTACGCCGTGGTGGTTGGCGATCACAGCACCCTTAATAAACTGCTCTCCTCTTTGCCCCGACTCGTTGACCCGAACCGAATACGGACAGAGTCTGACTCCCAAGCCCAAGAATGTCTCGCCGAAAAAATATCCGCCGTCGTCGACCGCCGCGACAACAGTCTAAGGGAAACTCCAATCCATCTCGCTGTTCGTCTTAATGACGCCACCGCCGCTCGCTGGCTTGCTGCTGCGGGGGCCGATGTCTCCCTTCAGAACGCCGCAGGATGGAACCCCCTTCAGGAAGCCCTACTTCGCCGCTGCCCGGAGATTGTATCTACCCTCGTCCAGCATCATCACCTTTCCTCCTGGTCCAAGTGGCGCCGCCGCCTTCCTCGTTTAGTTGCTGCCCTCCGCCGCATGCGCGACTTCTACATGGAGATCTCCTTCCATTTTGAGAGTTCCATCGTGCCATTCGTCGGAAAAATAGCCCCCTCCGACACTTACAAAATCTGGAAACACGATGGCAACCTCCGAGCGGACACATCTCTCGCCGGTTACGACGGTCTCAAAATCCAACGTGCCAATCAAAGTTTCCTCTTCCTCAACGACATTGATAGCACTCTCGAAATCCCCGCTGGATCCCTTCTCGTCCTTAATCACGACGACAAAAAAATCTTCGACGCATTTGAAAATGGGGGAAGCCCATTATCTGATTCCGACATTTCAAGCTTCTGTAATCAGACCAGCGTTTACAGGCCTGGAATGGATGTCACGAAAGCAGAGTTAGTGGGCCGTACTAATTGGAGACGACAGGAAAAAACAGAAAGTGTAGGGCAGTGGAAAGCGAAGGTTTACGAAATGCACAATATTATCTTTACTTTCCGGTCACGTAAAATCAATGCCGGAGATAATAGAGAAGATCCATTTGGGACCAACTACGTCTTGCCGTTGGAAATTGACGAAGAGTCCGACGAAGGGTTTATAGTCGCTGAGAATCCAAGATTTAGCGTGTCTAATGAGAGGCAACGGAGGCACAGCAATTTTGTGAGGGAGGATAGGGAACGGAGGCACAGCAGTTTTGTGAGGGAGGATAGGGAGTTCGTGACGGTGTCTAGGAAGAGTGTGGATATAATTCCGGTAGATGGGAGGAGAAGGGCACCGGAGAGACTAGTTGCGCCGCCGCTGACGAAAGAGAAGGAATACGTGAAGAGCCTGCGACCAATGGTTTGGTTAACGGAAGAGTTTCCATTGAAAACGGAAGAGTTGCTGCCGTTACTTGATATCTTGGCAAATAAGTAAAGGCCGTTAGACGCATGAGGGAGCTGTTAACGACGACGTTTCCTCTCGGGACATTTCCCGTAAAGGTAAAGGACGAATTTGTGACATTTCCCGTAAAGGTAAAGGACGAATTTGTCATAGACCAACTGTTTCTGATTCAGTGAAAGCTTTACTTTGAATTGATTTGCTTTGCTTCAATTTAATTCCTTCTTTTGATGCATAACCAATGTCTCTCTCTTTTAGCAACCAAGACCGTATAATTTGACGTGGAAGTATCCTATTGGTCTTTTTGTGGGCCCTTAAAATACAAGCTTTAGGTATAAAAATATGGAAAAAAAACCATTTGTCCTAGGTGTGTGGGAAGGGGTCCCACGTCCAATAAATGCTTTTGGCTGACCTCCCATGTGAGGGGGCGTGTGCCCAGAGTGTACATCTTGTATACGTGTAGCCGAATCCTAAAATTATCGTGTAGTATCCACTTTTAATTATTTGCATATGGGAAGTGTCGGGCTGGATAGGCAGGGCTCCGAATTGGCTCCCCCTTAATGCTATTTAATATTGTCACTGTTTAATATCAGTCTAGATGACGCAGCACACTCGACCTTAAATTACATGGTCAATTAAATACGAGGAATTATGATCCATTTAATATGATTTATGATATGCTGAAATCTAGATTGGTATTTAACATGAGCATTATTCTTGATTTAGAGTCTTAAAAATAGAATTGTTTTGACTTGGTTTTAATCAGACAGTTGAATTATGATTCAGGTGGCAATCCCTGTGGTTCCTACGGTGAGGGTGGTGATAACTTTTACGAAGTTTGTTGAGTTGCAACCAATTGAAAATTTTTACACTCCACTGTCAAGTCCTAGGCAATTTGGTATAAGAGGAGGCAATGAAGAGGAAAGTACGAGTAAGGAAAGTAGTTATTCTTCGTTTTCATCGTCCTGGTTATCGAGCAGTAGCCGCTCGAGCAATGGCGATCGTGGCGGTGAGCAATTGGATCCATTTACGGTACCAAGTGGATATTGTTGGAGTACTTTTGATGAGAAGAATAGGAAAATGAAGAAAACCAAGTCTACCAGAAAGAAAAACTAAGTGAATGTTGTTTTACAGATTAGATTATAAATGAATGTTGATTAATTGGGTAGATAACAATCTTAAATTTTGAAGCAAATTCTCCAACTGGGGATTGAAATGAAAGTTTACATTAATTAATTTTTTGTTATATTAAAATATGGTTACATTCCATTTAGAGCATCTCCAATGGTGACGTCAAATTTGATATAAATTAACATTTTCAAAATCACTTTTACATTATTATTTACATTTGGGTGGATCTAAATTCAAAATTTTTGTCGGATTTTCTTTGCATCTCTCCATTAGAGAGGTTTTCGGCCAATTTTGAAGATCTAAATTACAATTTAAATTTATTTTACACTACGATTTGAGATGTTCTTATCACTTGAAAATGATGTGTGAATGTTAAAAGTCTATAGGACTCGAAAATGTAACGAACCTTCTGAATCTGTGTAGAATACAATATACGCTCCCGTTTGACCCCCATTACCTGAAAATGAAAATGGGGGGAATAATATTTTTTAGAAAAATGAGTGATTGAAAAAGAAGGAAAAGTTTTCGATTTACGTATAATATTATTTTATGAAAAATTGTGTAGTTGAAAATAGGATAGAAAAAAATGTAATCTAATTGAATTTAATGGAAATCAAACGGGGCTAATACTATAGCATGACATTGATTGGTATCAATGTCTGTCCCCAAAATGCAGCAATGAATACATAAAAATAGTGTACCAAAGGGGTAATAACGTGTCACAAATTGTAAATAAAATGTGACTGATATACTGGACAGTTGATTTTTGAGTCACCAAAAGGTGACAGGACAGCCATAAAATCGTTACCTAATGCAGTCTAAATCTAAACGTTTGTCTTGGTACTTGGTACCACAATATTGATACCAAATTTGATAGATATTTTTCTCTTTATCGAAGTTAAATGATTATTAAAAAAAAACAATAATAATAAATTAATTGGTTCACATTTTCGAATAAAAAAACATAAGTCAGATTTTTGATCTCCTATGCTTTCAAAAAATGGGAAAAAAATCAGAAATTTCACTCTCTACTACTTTACTAAATTAAATGCTGGGAATACTATGTCACTAAAATAAATTACCACTTTTACTATGATCCAAACTTTCCATATTTTAACCCGAGGTGATGCTACATATATACTTTCCGTGTACATAATGCTTTACGTCCCCACCCCCCCCAACATGGAGGGGGTGTAATCTATTATCCTTTAACCGTAACTGAAGCCGCAATTAAGATTCACAATAGAAACGGATGTAATTAATTGAGAATGCTGAAAATCTAGGAATTCAAATTCAAATCGTGAAAATGTTAATGTAATAAGAGCAATAGTGGTGGAAATGGTGAATCCAAACTCGTATCTTTGTTAAATTCTCCCCTAGAATAGTTTCACCGACTGTTAAATTTTGATTGCATACTTCTGTAGAATCAATTCTCATAGGAAATTAATTGAGCAATCAGATTCTGTAACATGTAATTTCTTCTAGAATCCAATCGTAACATTGTATTCTCTTTCTTTTATGTTTAGTCTTTTGATTTAGCTTTATAATTTTTTTGATTCAGATGAGTAGGATTTTAGAAAATTATGAAATTCATTTCATGCATTCCAAATTATGAATGATATTCCATTAATTCTATACAGATTAATTTAATCACATTACGCTTATCATAATTTAGTTCTTTCCACCTTTCTTTCTTTCATAGATATGAAATCCGTGAATGTTTTCATAACATGCCATGCAATGACGTTTGATATTCTATTACCAGCTGGATGCAAGTACGAGGATTTAGTTGACATGATGACTATCGAGATGCAAGTCGATAAAAGGACCTTTTGCTTGAAGATAGATTATGACGTGGGAGATAACTCCCCCCCCCCCACCCACACACACACACACACAAGTATCACAAATGACAATTCATTCATGTTCTATATGGAGCTAAAGAAAAAGGAACGTCAGATAACTGTGTACGCACTATGTGTAATGCTAGTGAATATGTCGAACCAAAATGCATATGTATTGAATGAAGAAGTGCAGCAGTTTGTCCTCAAATGGAACCTTGTCTGCTTTGTGTATATAATCATCATTTAGATACAGCGTTCATATATAATCAGCTATGCATATATAATCACCAGTGAAACAGATGTTATAGATTGGAGATGAATAGAGAAAGAGAGTTTAAAAGTGATAAATTATGAGACTTTCTTGTAAATGAAGCAAGAAAACGGAACATATATATTGTCGTGAAGATAGAAATGGAATTGGACAACTATTTTTAGTGATTCTCGGTATGGTATTGGGTGGGAGATAAGGCATGTTTGGAGGAGTGATTATAGCATGATATATATAAGGCATATTTGAAGGCATGATTACAACATGCGTAATGGTTGGGGAATTTTTGAGTGATTCTCAATGAGTGTTGGGTGGGAGATAAGGCATGTTTGGAGGAGTGATTATAGCATGATATATAAGACGTATTTGGAGGCATGATTACTACGTGTGCTGGTTAATCTCGAACAGTAAAGCAATTTTTGAGATTCAGATTTTACTGCATAAAATTAAGTATTTCTAGGGGTTGTTTGAGCCCATTTTTATCAAAAAATGCAATTTGAAATAGTGTTATAATGAAGAATGCGTGGTTAAAAAATAAGGAAAAGTTTTTGGTATATGTGTATTATTATTTTATTGAAAAATGTGTGGTTGAAATAATGTCAAATCATTGTTGAAAAATGTATTTTGATAAAAAAAAAAAAAAAAATGGGGCTCAAACAAGAGCCTAGAATAAAATATGATTAAAAGTTAAATTTTAATATGTTTTTTAAACCTAGTATTGGGTGAAATTTCCTCTCAAAGATATGAGATCTGCTTCGCCCAACTCAAATAGTAGTTCCCCAATATGGCCCATACTTCATGGCCCAAAGTATTAAAAGCCCACCAAGGACAGGCCCAACCTTCATATCTCCAGGCAACAGCAAAAACTAATTATATATCTCAAATAATATAATATGTTTAAAATTTTAAAAACAGCAAGTATACAATTTGTGCATTCTATATTACGTAGTATAGAGTCTTTCTTAATATTATCAAGTGCTATCCAATAATCTTTACAGAACATATCATATTCCAAATATCTAAGTGCGGTATCAATAACAACTTTTGTGTTGCGTGCAAAACAAAGCAACTTCGTCTATTCCAAACAAATGTAGGCTGGCTAAACCATGAAATTAGCATTCAAAATAGAAAGTGGCGTACGAAGTTTGCTTGTAGAGACAGTTACCTATGAGTTGGCATGTCTTATAAAAATAAAAAAGAACGGATTAGTTAAAGTGACAGCCTATCCACATGCAGACTCCTCTTCTTAATCACAAATATCATAATTATTCTTTCCATAAACATTTTCTCCTTTCTTCACTCAGAGATTCCAAATCTAAGACCCTGTATCCTCTTCCAAGCAAGGTATTCTGTGTTTGTGTTTGTGTGCCTGTTTTCCTACTAATGTTTTAAGGTATCTATTACATAATTAAATCATTTCTTTCCTTCTTTCTTTCTGTTATATGTATTGATGTCTTAATCAGAAGGGCCTCTATCTGCATATTTGTACTTTGGATTCAAAAGTTGATGTTTCAAGGATCAGCGGTTCTGATTGTCCCTTTTTCTTCAAATTGAATCAATTCTCACACCCCATAAGGAAATATTGATATATTTTGAGATACAGGCTGGTGTTACACCATATGTTTTTAGGTGAGCATTGAACAAATTGAACTATGCTCAGCCTAATGGTATTGTAGGCAATCCCTGCTAAGGGCAGCCTCAGATTTTATTCGAGATTCTATTTCGTAATTTACATGTGTTAAGTCGTATAAAAGATTCCAAAGATGCCATTTTTGCTTGTAATTCCATTCTTTCTTGTAGTGTAAATTCTCTTATTGAAGGTTAACCACTAAAAATCGGTATGCTTTACATCTTTCTGATTTTACTTTGTTATTGCTAGGGAACTGAATAGTTATGGCTGCAGAGGCGCCAAGCTGGGCAGATCAATGGGGTGCAGGAGGAATCGGTGCAATGGAAGATGAGAATACTAAAACCAACAAAGAAGTGAACAACAAGAAGAATACAGGCTCCACTGCAGGACTCGGTAAAGCCAAAGCAGCAGCCATTTTAGGTGCACAAAAGGTCAAGAATGGCACATCAATGGGCATCAAGTGGGTCAAAAACAGATGTCAAAAGAAACCCTCTTCAACATAAATATTATCAAAGAAAAAACTCTGCTGTATTGCTTAGTGATTCAAAATTATGTTCCATCTGTATTTTGTCACGTCAAAAAACTCAACACTTGTTTCATCTATCAACTCCTTTCTTGAAAAATTAACTTTATTCATATTTATTCTTTTAAAGAAAAATAAAATACTCTCCCCGCTTTTACTTGTCGGGTTTGGTTAGGCCTATTGGTAGTAGATACATGTTCGATACGCTACACTACTAGATTGACGGGACAATGTCCAGCTTTTTACAAACACATCATAAATGCTTTCTTAAGTTGAAAATGTGTCGAGGAATTAACGGGGGAAGGTGAAAGGGCAAAGGAGGGTTCAGCATTTTCACGTGAAAACAGTACTGTGATGTTCTGTGCGACCAAAATAGGCCATGGGTGGGGCACCTAGTTACAGATAGATGCTTCGGGGATTTCCAACCAAAAAACCAAAAAATTGAAGTTACATGCTTCTTGTGAAGAGGGACATTGGGCTTATATACGCACA